TACCACAGAGATATTTGTACATCCATGTTTGTTACTGTATTTACAATAGCAAGGAAATTAAATTAGCCTAAATATCCATCAGCTGATGAATAAAAAAAAGTGGTACATATATACAATGGCATTTTATTCAGCCATAAAGAAAAATTAAGTATTGAAATTTGCAAGAAAAAATGGATGGATCTGGAAATCATTATATTAAGATAGCCCAGACTCAAAAAGACAAATTGCTACAAATTCTTTCTTGTATGTGGATCCTGGTTTTATATTTGAATATGTGTATGTGAGTGTCAGCATTTGTCGCGAGCCAGGACTCTGTCCAGTAGAGTCCAGGAAAGACGACACAGACACCAAGGCGAGGTTCAAGCTTCTGTTTCTTTTCCTTCCTTTATTCTCTCTTATAGTCTCTTCATTATCTCACCCACTATGATGCTGTCTCTCGTAGTTCTCCTATATCTCTCACTACATTCTCTCTCACTACATTCTCTCTCACTTCATTCTCTCTCACTATGAGACTGTCTCGTTGTTGCTGTTCTGTTCTTCCTCTGTTCTGTTCTCTTACACACCTCAGCTGTTCATATAGTGTTTCCAACAGCCCTCCCTCTAGCCAGGACCAATCAGGGCACACACACGTGCAGCGGGCAGGCAGAGTGCAGCTCATTAGCCATGTAGCAAGATTATCAGGCTGGCAGCACCTGTTTTTGGGCTCACCATACTTCAGAGTTGGGGTAAACAAGCGGGATTCACGAGCCTTGGCAATCAGCCAAGAGTTGAAGTAAACAGCACGAGGTTTGGCAGCCAGCCAGGGCTCCATCTTTGGCTGGCTCGGCTGTGCTTGCTTCCCACAAAAGGGGATCCCAAGAGGGAAAGAGTTTTCAGGGGTGGGTATTAGAATATATGTAGCATAAGAGCCGAAGGGGGACTGATTGCGGGTGGATGAGTACAAGGAGGGGAAACAGGGGAAGTAAGGGAAGACTGAGGGATCAACAAGAACAAGCTATATCTGAAAATTCTATGATGAAGCATATTTCTTTGTATACTAATTAAAAGAAGTAAAACAGAAAATGAACATTGTTATTTTGCTAACAGATTGATAAAGATTTGGGTTTTTTAAATATTTTATTTATCATATTTATTTTATGTGTATGAGCGTTATGCCTGCATGTAGGTAAGTGCAATGCCTGCGAGGACAGAAGAGGCTGTCGGATCCCCTGGAGCTGGAGTTAAGAACGGTTGTTAGCTGCCATGTGGGTGCTGGGATTCAAACCCTGGTCTTCTGCAAGAACAGTCAGTAATCTTAACCACTGAGCTATCTCTCCAGCCCCAAAGATTTGTTTTTACAAGGTTATCCAGTATTAACAAGAGAATGGGAGAAAAAACTTTTCTCACAGTAATAATTGGTTTAAATTTTAGTTTTCTGGGAGTTAATTTGAATTTGGTAAAATGTATCATACTTTTAAAATGTTCGCTTCCTTTTACCCATTTCATCATAACTGGACATTATCATAAGAGCATGCAGTGCAGCACAAAATGATTTGTTTGGCAACTGTTGTAGACATGGGTTTTACTGTTAAGCTACCAGCATCTCATCTACTGTACTTTGCAGAGTTCCCAAGCATATAAGATGCTTCTCCTACTATAGAACCAAAAAATGCCAGGTATTTGCTTCCTAGTCTTCACTGTATCTGTGTGCAGGCATGTGACAGAGGCTTTATACCCAGACTTTTCCTCTGAAACTAATGAAGTTAATTTAAAAAAAAAAAAAAAAAAAAAAAAGGACTTCCAAACTAGTCTTTAAGAGCTGGTGGCTACTGTTTATAAAGCCCAGAGTCATAGCATCATTTCAGGTTGAGGCAGATCATGCCCAGTGGCTTTTTGGTTTTTTTAGGCCAGTTCAGTAGTGTTTGATTTTTGTATCAGGCCTTTTGAAAGTATTGCATCTACATCTGAGTTTTCCAGATTCTATGATGGTTCTAATAGCCTGTCAGTTTTTCTATTTAAATTATTTTTTCCCATCAACTTACAGCTAAAACCTCTGACTTATAAAAAGCATTATTTCTAATAGTGAAAGGTGGACACAATATTAAGAGATAGGTAGATACTGTGTGTATAGGGTAAGATACTATTCAGTCTTCTAAAAATCATGCAGCATTTTCAGTTTGTCTTTTAATGAGAAAAGGAATTTAGAGTAAGGCATTAGGTTCTTAGAAAATTGTTGGGACTTCTGAAATTGACTCCAGAAACAATAGCAAACATATCCACTGGGGGTGCTTGTCCCTCTGAGGCCCCACACTTTAAGAAGGACTAAGTTAATGTTGCCCACGAACTGTTTTACAAATCCAGGAAACCTCAAAGGGTACCTACCTGACACTACAGATCAGAGATTAGGAACTTGAATTAGTAGCAACTTACTCCACTAATTCCAAAAAGTGGGCCATGGAATGCTGTTTCAGGGGTGTATGACATTTCCAAACCCTGCTTATTAGTAACCACAGCCAAAAACCAAAGGAAAATATCCTTGACTCACTTTCATCTCCAAATCTCAGAGGGCATGAATGTATAAGGGAGCTACAAAACTTGTATGTGCATAGATTTATTTCTGGAAGAGTATGTAAACCAGTAACCATGGTGATTCCTAAGGCTAGCAGCATAAGAGGGAAATGCTTTTTAAAAATATGTATTTATTTTGTGTGCACACACACACATATACCTACTAAGCCACACATGTGGAAGTTGGAGGACAGCTTGCAGAAGTCAGTTCTTCCACCTGTGAATTCTGGGCACTGAACTCAGGTCGTCAGGCTTGATGGCAAGCGCTTTTACCTGCTGAACCATCTCACCAGCCCAGTCATGCTTTTTACCATGCCCCCTCCCCTTTTTGGTGTTATACTATGGTTGCCCTTACTTAGTCAAAAGTTACTGGGTGGTTGGGAGGGGTGGCTGCTGCCTTTAATTCCAGCACTCAGGAGGCAGAGGCAGGCTGATCTCTGGGAGATTGAGGTCAGGCTGGTGTACATAGCAAATTCCAGGCCAATTAGGGCTACATGGAGAACCTGTATCAAAAAGTTTTTTTTTAAAGGTAACTGAGTTAAATTTGAACTATTTAGTCATTTCCACTGTATCCCAAAGGACTGAATTTTTGACTTCTGGAGAAGCCTGCAGACCTCTTTGAGATGTGAGTACCCTCCATCTCCCACTTCTGCTTCAACCAGAGCAAGTCTCATTTTATCTGTTGTATAGTTTAAGCTTCTGGGTAAGATTTTGTTTAAAGAAGGCATTCTGCTGCTTTTTAAAAATTGAAAGCTAGGCTCTGCCATCAGGGCTGCTCCAGCTCAGCTCCGGCTCGGGTGGAAGCCATTTAAAAAAAAAATTGAAAGCTAGTGTTGTAGAAGAATATTGCGTGTCACAGAGGACTGGAACAATAGGGAGAAGAATGGCAGTGCAAATAGTAAGTTCTTTCTTCACAGTACCTTACCATTTCTTATGCCTCTCCTTCTCAAATTTACTATATTTTTATAATCATAAATTCCTGTTTTTAAAATATGAAATTAAAATGCTTGTGATCTCAGTCATGTTATCAAATAACTGTAATAAGATTAGTAATTGTAATAAGGGCTACTGTTTTAAGTACTATCATAACTCCCAGGCACTGTCCTATGTACTTTACTCTCTCACTTAATTTTCATGACAATCATAGGAAGCTTAATTATTATCTTGGTTTTAAATATGAGAAATAGATGCTAAAATGTTAAACTGGAAACTGGCTAAAAGGTAAATGGACCTCTAGCCTAGGTGTATCTCACTCCTATGACTCTGCTGTTCACCAGCACACTCTACTGTAACCAATCTTCAGAAATCCATCAATTTTGTGATGTCAAGCCCAACTATATCAAGCATTATTACATCAGGGGCTCTCGTCAGCATCTCTTTCCCATTCAAGTATCACCTCTGTGCACATGGTAGCTAAGAACTGTGGTTCTCATCTCTGGCTGCACGTCAGTATCACCCACAGAGCTTCAGAAACATGCAGATGGTAGAAACTGGCCCTACTCCTGAACTGGCATCACCAGGCCAGGAACTCATATAAGTTTAGTTTTAAAGATCTATAGATGATTCTAATGTTATCAAATTATAGAGCTCCATCCTAGAACAGAGGTTCTCTAACTTGAACAGCATGTTGCTGTAAATGTTGCTTTGAACAAATGGGGTGTTTTTTTTTGTTTTTGTTTTGGTTTTGTTTTTTTGTCTTTATTGAGACAGCCTCAGCTGTCCTGGAACTCACTATGTAAACGAGGCTGGCCTCGAACTCACAAAGATCCGCCTGCCTCTGCCTCTGGAGTGCTGGGATTAAAGGCATTTGCCACCATGCCCGGCCCCACAAAGGGTTTTTTTTTTTTAAATCCCCTGGAGAAAAATATTTTTGATCAGTGTTTCTTTAAACTGTTTGGGCCTGTGACCAGTTAGTTCCCTCTAGGAAAGGTCCTCATCTGTCCAGGACCAGAGTCCATGTCCATACCTCCTCCAAGCAGAGTAGGGCTCACTTCCCAGAAGCCTGTGAGTCTTGCCTCATAGGGAAAGCCCCCATCTTCTCCACATGGGTACTCTCTATTAGCTGCCTTATCCTAGACCAGCTGATCTGGCAATGGGCATGTTGGCAGTCTATTTCCTGGGTGTTATTAAAAAGATCTAAGTTCCTGGTTGATGTCTAGTCTGATATTAAGAAATTATTAGAATGACTAACAAATTGTTTGCATCATCTGCTCTTCAACTAATAAAAATTAATAAGAGCTATTAGATACTAATAATGAACACTGTGCTTGGAGAAAATTATAATCTTTTATATCTAACTGATGGGCCATATACCTAATAATATTTGGCTCAGTTTTCTAGATCAGCTTCCATCCTACACCTAGTCCTTCTGTACCACTGATTTTATGTATTTTAACTTGTTTGGAGAAGAGTTGTTCAGGTCTTACAAATGGTGATTTTTCCCTTCCCATTAGGTCTCTCTGCAATGCAATCAATGTTTACAACCTCACCTGCAATAACTGTTCAGAAAACTGCACTGATGTTCTGTTTAGTAACAAGATTACCTTCTTAATGGATCTCCTGATACACCAGTTGACGGTATGTAATATTATTGCCTTGAGTTTAGAAGCAGTTAAGGTTTGAGAAATACTCCTGTGGCCAAAACAAAGATTTCACTCTATTTCACTGTCCAGATTGGGGGAAAAAAAGGACAGGGGGAGTGAGGATATTTAAGAATGGACAATAGGGGCTGACAGAGAATCTCTTAATTGTTTAACAGATAATAGATATGTAACATTTGTTTTTACATGATAAATTTGACTTTGGAATCAAGTGGACCCAGTACCAAATCTTCGAAGCCACAGGAAAGCCTCAAAGCCTCTGGACGGCATATTAAAAGAGCCAATTTTGAAGAGGTTTTTTGATAACTATTTACATTTAAAAGAAAATGTAGGAAAAACCTTTGTAAGAAAGCGGCAAACCTATACTTAATGAAATGTGAACAGGCAGCTAATTGTCACCTTAAATTTTACCTTAGTTCACAGATGTTTAAAAAGGTAAGGTCAATATATACCCAAAGGTTTAGGTCTGCCAACTCTAGTCTTCAGAACAGAGTCCTGAGACCAGAAGCTTCCTGGTGAAGTTTCTGAGCCCCTGAGGTATTGGCACAAAATCTCTCTCAAGCTGCAGGTTTACAACACAGGAGACTTGTGGGGGTTTTTTTCCTTAAAACTGACTCACTTTTTACTGTGCACAGTTCTAATTGATCTCCCTTAAATGCTATACCATTGTTCCCTTTCTTCCTGTGACTGGTTAATTCCTATATATTTTGGGGGCCTTAATTTAGGCATATAGCATCTCCTTTATGAAATCATCTCTAATCTGTTTCCCCAGTTCTAAACTAAGAATGCTTTTTATGAGTCTAGAGATTACCTCTCATAGAACTGATTGCATCAAATTATAATTATTTGTCTATTTCTGCTACTAGCCCTAAAATCCATGAAGACAGCTGGTAACGTATTACCATCTCCAAGATCTTAACAAAGGACATGGCATTTAGTAGATTCAGTACATCACTGACTGAATGTAGGAGCAAATAAATTAATGACCACTCACTACAAGCTGAAAATCATAAAAGTGACTATGAAGTCCTTTTGTGCAGACATACTGGCACAGACAGAGATAGTGATATGGGAAAAGGAAGATGCAGACTAAACTACTACATAGTATAATGGTGGCTACCTGCAATAATGACAGTGAGTTATGAATCAAAGGCTAAATTGTATATGGTTTCTTACGAAACAAGTTACTAAAATATGGGTCACATTTCAGCAAAAAGTTCTTCATTAAAAGAGAAAAGATTCGTTGTTAGGCTTTGTGTCTCAGGTATTTTAATTTATATTACCTTATTTAATTTTCAGAAAAATCTGATAAGTTCATTATTATCCTGTTTTGCAAATAAGGAAAATTGGGTCCCAAGAGTCAGATTTTAAGGCTACACAGATGTAAGTTACAGAGGCAAGAGTCAAACCTAGGTCTGTCAAATCTAAATTCAGGGGCTACTATG